AGGGCTGGGAGGGGGTTCTACAATGGAGGGAGCAAGGTGGGGGGCCTGGGCTAGCAGGGGTAAAGGGGGTCTTGGGGCTGGTGGGGGGCTCTGGGCTACTGGGGGCTCAGGGCAAGGGGGCAATGGGGGCCCCAGGCTAGCAGGGACTTGGGGGGCTGGGGGGGCTGGGGGTACCTCAGGTTGCTGGTGCAGGGCTGGGGGGGGTGTCTGCGCATAGAGGAGGTGCAAGGAGAGGGTTCCTGGCTGTTTGGGGTGCAGGGAGCTGCTGGCAGGCCAAGGACAAGGGGGACTCCAACTGAGGGGGACAGGGGGCTGTGGGCAGAGGGGGTGGGTACCCGGGGGGCTGTGGGACGAGTATGGGGTCCATGGGTTGGGGGGCACAACACTGACTCCCTCTTTCGCCGCAGGGCTGGTAGGTTCTACCCAGGTTGGGGGAGGGGGTTCCGTGGGTGAGGGAGGGTCTGTGGGACAGATGTGGGGTCTGTGGGACAGGTGTGGGGTCTGTGGGGCAGGGGCACAGCACTGACCCCGCTATTTTCTTGCAGGGCCGGTGGGTTCTACACAGCGCAGGTCTGGCCCGGGCTGCGCCTCGTCTCCCTCAACATGAACTTCTGCTCCCAGGCCAACTTCTGGCTCCTCATCAATGCCACTGACCCCGCGGGGCAGCTCCAGTGGCTCATGGGGGTCCTGGCAGACGCTGAGCGTGATGGGGAGAAGGTGAGGGGGGAATTCTGGGGGGAGATTGGGGCGTCCCGGGGTTCCTGGGCACTGCCAAGCCCTGGGTCCCTGCCCCCAGGTGCACATCATTGGGCACATCCCCCCGGCCCACTGCCTGCGCAGCTGGAGCTGGAACTACTACCGCATCGTCAGCAGGTCAGTGCCCACACACACCCAGCCTGGACCCCCACACTGTGTGCCAGACCCCTGCCCCTGTGCCCCGCCCCACATGCCAGACCCCCACACTGCACCCTGGACTCCAGCCCCATGTGCTGGGCCCCTGCCCTGCACACCAGACTCATGTCCACAGGCCCTGGACCCCCACCCCACACATGAGACCTCTGCCCTGCACACCACACTCATGCCCCACGTGCTGGACCCCTACACCAGACCCCCACCCCATGCCCTGGACCTCCACTCCATGAGTCAGACCTGCTCGTCCTAGACCCCCATCCTGTGTACCAAAGACCAAAAGCCCCTCCCCACATGCCAGACCCCCCACCCCATGTATCCTGGATCCCCATTCCTCACACCGGACCCCCTTGGGGTGGCATCAGCATGGGAGGGGGAGAGGGGATGGTGTTGGAGGACCCAAGGTTGGGACCCTGAAGCTGCCTGTGCCAGGCAGAGCCATGACAAGGGGTCTGTGAGCGGCCAGGCCTGGCTCGGGTTGGGGGCTGCGGGTGTAGATGCTGCCCCCCCCTCACCCCACAATGGCAGGTTCGAGGGCACCATCGCAGCACAGTTCTTCGGGCACACGCACCTGGACGAGTTCGAGCTGTTCTACGATGAGGAGACGCTGTCACGCCCCGTCTCCATCGCCTTCGTGGCACCGAGTGTCACCACCTACATCAACCTCAACCCTGGTGCGCCCCAATCCCCCCCGCGTGTCCCCCTGGCCCCCAATCCCCGGCACTGACAGTCCCTCCCCGCAGGGTACCGCGTGTACGAGGTGGCCGCTTCCTACCCCGGGAGCTCCCACGCGGTGCTGGACCACGAGACCTTCATCCTGAACCTGACGGAGGCCAACGCGGCCCCCCCGGGGACTCCCCCCCGCTGGCAGCGGCTCTACGGGGCGCGCGAGGCCTACGGGCTGCCCGCGGCCTTCCCGGCCGACTGGGACCGGCTGGTGCGGCGGCTGCAGGACGACGAGCGGCTCTTCCAGCGCTTCTGGTTCCACCTGCACAAGGGGCACCCGCCCCGCGAGCCCTGCGGGGGCCCCTGCAAGGCCGCCCTGCTCTGTGCCCTGCGCTCCGGCCGCGCCGCGGACCCCATGCTCTGCCGGCCCCTGCGCCCCGCCCTGCCCTTCCCACGCATCCAGGAGCTCTGGAGACAGCGGCAGCTCTGCTGACACGGCCACGCTGGGAACGGGGTTGGACTCAGCACATGGTCACACTGGGAGCGGGGTTGGACTCAGCACATGGTCACACCGGGAGCGGGGTTGGACTCAGCACATGGTCACACTGGGAGTGGGGCCGGGAGCGGGGTCGGCACATGGTCATGCCAGGACTGGGTTTGGTACTCACACGTGGTCCTCGCGTCTCACCAGATGCACAATAAAGGCACAGTGGGCCCCACCATCCCTCCCCATCCTCATCCACCAGGATTGGGACTGGAGTCAGGATCAGCACACAATCCTCGTGTTCCCATCACCCAGCCAATACAGGTGTGATGGACCCCGCTGCCCTTCATCTTCCTCATCCCAATCCTCCCCCCACAACACCCTAGGGAGAACCAAACCAGGAATAACGTAACCCTCACCCCTCCTCTTCTTCCTCCTCCGTGCACGAGGCCGAAGGCAGAGCCAAGCCGGGCTGGTGGAATGGGTTTATTAATTAATGATTTAGTACAACACAGACCCTCGTTACGCCGCATGCATTGGGGACGGTGAGGGGGGTGTGACCCACCACGGGGGCAGTGGGGGTGGGGCAGGACCCCCAACCCAACACCACGGGGAACTCTGTGCCCTGGGGCGTTGGGTCAGCCGTCCTGCCCCCCCCTCCGCCTCGCGCCCCCCGTGCCCTCGCCCCCTTCAAGGGGTCTGTGCCCCTCCCCGCCGCGGTTTGAGGGTCCCCAGGAGGGTCTGCACCCCCCGGCGCACGGAGGAGCCCACCCGCCGCGCCACGGAGTCAGCCGGGGGGGCCGGCAGGCAGGAGCTGGAGGCCTGGGGCCGCGCGTCCAGGCACTTCTGGTAGCGGAGCTGCGGGGAAGGGGGGTCAGCAGGGGAGAAGGGGGGCCCGGGGGTCCCGCTCACCCTGCAGCGGGGGGCACGGGGAACCGGGGGCTCGGGGGTCCCACTCACCACGCAGGCGGCCTGCAGCGCCTCGCTGAGCCCCGCGGCGTTGGGCTCACACCACACCATGTGGCAGCGGAAGGTGCCGGGCGCGCTGGCCATGATGAAGGCGAAGGCGCGGACGTCGCGTCCCACCCCCATGAAGGACAGGAACCGCACGCGGCACTCGCACAGCACCGCCTCCGTCTGGGGGGCACGCGGGGGTCAGCACCGCACCCCGGCCTGGGGGGGCATCCCCGAGGTCCCGGGGAGTGGGGGGGACACACTGTGTCCCCGTGGTACGGGGAGGGGTCCCTGCAGCCCCCCAACAGGGAATGGGGTCACTGAGGCCCCCAGAGCAGGAGGGCATTAGCAGTGCAGGTGGGGGTCACCATCTGGGGGTGGTCACCAGTGTGGGTAGGGGTCACTGCAGCTTCCCAGAGTGGGACGGGGTTATCACAGTGGGGTGGGGGTCACCATGGTCCCCAGAGTGGGAGGGGGGTCACTACAGCCCTCCAGGGCAGAAAGGGGGGTCACTGCAGCCCCTCAGAGTGGGGAGAGGTCACCACAGACCCCCCAGGGTAGGGGGGGGTCCCAGGTGGGCACGCACCTGGCGGTGGGCAATGGTGAGAGTGGCGGGGGCCACACTGACCACGACAGGGGTGGGTGCGGGGGGCTCCCCCGAGCCGGGGGCCAGTGCTGCCTCCAGCGCCGCGTTGATCACGTCCATGCCTGGGGGGCACAGAGGGGTCAGGGCAGCCCTGGGGGTGCCCCCAGCCCACAGCATCCCCCAGAGGCCGGGGGGGAGCTCCCTTGAGCCCCCCACTCACCCACAGGCTTGGCAACGGGGACGCAGCCCAGGTAACACACGGGGAAGCGCTGAACTGCCTCACTCTTGGGGGCCGGGAACTCCACTGTGGGGGGGGCACATCAGACCTGCCCAGAGCCCCTCAAAACCCCCCAGAGCCCCCCCACCCCTCAGTCCTCACCCAGCACACCCCAACACCCCCCATCTGCACCACCTCACTCCTGGGCACTGGGAACTCCACTGGGGGGGGCACTGTCAGGAGCCTCCAAAGCCTCCCTGAACCCCCCAACACCCACCCTCTCCCCAACCACCCCCCAGCACGTGCAGCCTCTGGACACATGAGCCCCCTGCCCTGGACCCCCCATGACCCCTCCCCAGCCCTCCTCGCCCCCCAGATCCCCAATCCCCTCCAGGGTACCCCCCAGATCTCCCCTGCTCCCTCACAGGTACTCCCCCTTCCACGCCCTGCAGTGGGGTCCCCCAGCCCCATGCCCCGTACCCTGCAGTGGGGTCCCCCAGCCCCATGCCCCGTACCCTGCAGGGGGGTCCCCCAG